TGTAGTTTACGCCCGAGTATTGTTTCAGGTAATCTTCCCATTCTTTCACATCTTCCTCTTTATATCACTCTCGACAAATTTCAAACACGCCCATCTCTGTCAAATAACCAAAAGTGAAAACAAAACTAAAAGGAGCAGAGGATACAAACGCCATGCCATTTGATTTTAAGTTACCAGTGGTGCAAGAACTGTGGCTAAGAGACTAATGAGAAACCCTTCACCGGGCTTATGAACCATAAGCTCCGAGAAACGAGTAAGATACATATGTGCCAATGAAAACCCCCAGGGAAGATAATCAGGGAGATTCTAGTGTGCTGTCCTGTATTGTATAAAACTGTGCATGGATTTTCCATCCCATTTGCTGCACAACACTCCATGGCAATGTCCAATGCAGATTTCTGGAACCCAACAAGAACACGACCGCTTTTGCATCTTCCATGGCTGCGTAGTCCATGGAGTGTATCACCTTTCCATGAAATGTTTCGGGACCCTTGTTCGCAGGGAATTCTGGGATATTTGGCAGACCGCTGAACCGCCCCCACACAGATAATTACAAAGTCCACTTGGTACATCTGCAGAATAAAGTTAATTAGTCCACTTGGTATATCTAGATATAGATATATACCTGAGTTGAAAGGGTATTCAAGTCTTCAACAATGAGCTTCCACTTCCCCATGGAGCTGAGGGGCTCACCAGTGCCTCCCCATGAGCTCCAAGACTGGTCTCTTCATCACGGGGACCTTCATACTCAATCCCAGCAACTTTGGTGTTGAATTTGATGTGCTTAAGCAAGTCGAAGTGCTTTGCATAAGCCTTAACATAATCGAAGACCTTGTGTTTGTCGGGAAAATCTTCTGTGACCGAAGGTGGCCACGGAAAATCGGAGAACTGATAAAGTGGTTTTGGTGTTTGGAGCTTCGTAGTCTGGAGAGTTTTATACATTATATATTTAATATTAATTTTAAAAGAATTAACCTTCAATATTTTCATCATTATTTCTTTTACCGTCATCCTTCACTGATGCATCGGTCAACATTCCTTCGCTAACATCGTTATTCATCATCGTTTTGAAATTAATAATGACACCAACACAAAAATATACAATCTTCAATCTCTGTTGTCATATATATTCGATGCTTCGGTTTGCCGCTGGCACTTCAAGAATCTAATAAAATCTCCAACGACGACACCTAGTCTCAGTATCATCCACCTTTTTGAGCCTTAAGTTGTTGTTGGTAAGATTCAATTAATAAATAAATAAATAAACGAGGATTAAATGCATAATTATATTAATTTAGGGTAAAATATATTAATTTTAGAGTGTTATTTCATTGAATTCTCCGATTACTATAAAATGATCCTCTGACTATAGAGCATTATTTTGTTGAGTCCCTCGATTAAGAAAAGTTATAAAATAATCACTCGATTATTCATATGTTCTAAATTCATAATTTTTAGTTAAAAAGTTGACGATTGTTTGAGTTAAACGTCAACTTGTTGAGTGAGATGTGATAAAATCATATTTTAATGATGCCTACTGGTATCACATTTGGTTTCAAGCACTGACTCTATGATATAATATTTCAAGCACTTACTTGACGACATATTGTAAACAAATAGTTGATCTACAAAATACAACTCAAATGATTATGGGGTTAAATTTTATCATATCACAGTCAACATATTAATTTCCAGCTCAAACGACTTTCAATTTATTAACGGAAAGAACGAGTTTGGAATATATGAATTGTTAGATGACCATTTTGTAACTCATAGTAGTCAGGAGATTCAACAAAATAGTATCCTATAGTTAGAGGATCATTTTATAACTTTTAATAATAAAAGGACTCAACAAAATAATACTCTATAATCAGAGATCTTTTATGTACTTTACTTTTAATTTTAATAATTAAATGACTCAACAAAATAACAGAAGATTTGATTAACATCATTTAAAAAAATTAAGTGGTTTAATTAATAATATTAAAAAATTATTAGTTAAAATAGAATTTTTTCATAGTTAAATAGTATGGGTGTAGTTTACCCTTAATTCTTTGATAGATGGGATTTTCTTTCACTCCATCAAATTTCCGAATTCCAACCAAGAGAAGCAGAGAAGAGAGCTATCCCCAAAGGAAATTGACAAACTGAAGACAAATTTGAATCCTATATACAAAGAAGGAGCTCAGTTTTCCAGTCACCTATGGCTCTCAATCTTCGCCAGAAACAAACAGGTAAGTTTCTCTTTAGATATCTCTTCCTTCGTTTGCCCTAATTCCCCGAAACCCCATTTCATTTCTCTTTGTAAATTTTGATGACCCTGTTAAAATTCTGTTAAATTTGATTTTTTTTGGATCTAAATATAAATATACCTTTTTCTTTCCTTTCCTTCATCGGATTGTTGAACTTGATCTGTCATTTTTGAGCTTTGATCGTTTTGGTATTTATTTTTTTGGTTTTTTTTTTACAGAATGTATAATCCGAATGCTGAATCTGAACCAACCTGTGAATCCCACTGGAACTGCGAACGAAGAGGTCTACAAGATCTTGATTTATGACAAATTTTGTCAAAGTATACTGTCCCCCGTGATCCATGTCAAGGATCTTCGAAAACACGGCGTTACCCTCTACTTCCTTATCGACAAGGATCGAAAACCTATCAATGATGTGCCCGCTGTCTACTTTGTTCAGCCTAATCAATCTAATATCCAGAGAATTGTAGCTGATGCTTCACGTTCACTCTATGATAGTTTTTATCTGAATTTCTCTTCATCTATACCAAGGCCGCTTTTGGAGGATCTTGCTTCTGGGGCTTTGAATTCAGATTCAATCCATAGGATTTCAAAGATCCACGATCAATATTTGGAATTTGTGACGTTGGAGGATAATTTGTTTTCGTTGTCCCAGAAGTCTACTTATCTGCAGCTGAATGATCCATCAGCTGGGGATAAAGAGATCGAAGATATTATAGAGAGGGTTGTTAGTGGATTATTTTGCGTTTTGGCTACGCTTGCAGTGGTGCCCATTATAAGATGCCCACGTGGTGGACCAGCAGAGATGGTTGCTTCAGCATTGGATCAGAAGTTGAGGGATCATTTGTTGTCAAAGAACAATTTATTTTCTGAAGGTGGCAGTTTTGCAAGCTCATTTCAGCGTCCAATTTTGTGTATCTTTGATAGGAATTTTGAGTTGTCGGCTGCAATACAACATGATTTTAGGTACCACCCACTTGTACATGATATTCTTGGATTGAAGCTTAATAGGTTGACTGTGCCAGGAGAGAAAGGTGGAATGAAGTCGTACGAGTTGGATAGCTCGGATCCATTTTGGACCGCAAATGGGTCGTTGGAATTCCCTGAAGTTGCTGTTGAGATTGAGACTCAGTTGAACACATATAAGAAAGATGTTGATGAGGTGAATAGAAGGACCGGTGGGAATGCAGGAGCTGAGTTTGATGGGACGGACTTGATCGGGAACACAAAGCATTTAATGAATGCAGTGAACTCCCTGCCTGAACTGACAGAGCGGAAGCAGGTTATTGATAAACACACAAACATTGCAACAGTGCTCTTGGGTCAAATAAAGGAGAGATCTCTTGATGCTTATGTAAAGAAGGAGAATGATATGATGGACAGAGGTGGCATTGACCGAAATGAGTTGCTGGCTGTACTTAAGGGAAAAGGTACCAAGATGGATAAGCTGCGTTTTGCTATAACATATATTATCTCTTCTGAAACCATTAATCCAGCTGAAGCAGAAGCAGTGGAAGCAGCACTAGTAGAATCTGAGGTTGATGCAAGTGCATTTCAGTATGTGAAGAAGATCAAGTCATTGAATGTTTCGTTGGCATCAGCAAATCCTGCTAGTAGAAATAACATTGTTGATTGGGCTGAGAAGCTCTATGGCCAGTCAATTAGTGCTGTCACAGCGGGTGTGAAGAACCTATTATCTAGTGATAGGCAGCTGGCTTTGACCAGGACTGTGGAAGCATTGATGGAGGGGAAGCCAAACCCTGAAATTGATTCTTACCTTGTGTTTGATCCCCGTGCCCCTAAATCAAGCTCTGGCTCTAGCAGCAGCCATCTGAAAGGACCCTTTAAAGAAGCTATTGTTTTCATGATTGGTGGTGGAAATTACGTGGAGTATGGCAGCTTGCAAGACCTTGCCCGGCATCAGCAGCCTGTCAAGCATGTTATATATGGAACGACAGAAATTTTAACAGGAATGGAGTTCGTTGAGCAACTCTCGCAGTTGGGGAATAAGATGGGATTGGGCAATTCTGTTGCTACTTCTTCAGCAACCCATTAATGCAGCCTATGGATATAATTTGCAGAGCCTGCTATTCACTGGTCAAGTGCATAAAGGGGGCAGCAGCATCCAAAATGCAGATACCAAAACATATTGCCAAGTAAATGCACAGATGTGAAGGTGAATATCAATTGGGGCATGCACTTTTTTCTTGATAACTTGCTGGTTTTAATTGAGACTCGAACATTTGATTATTTAGAAGAACTTACATAAATATATAAATTTACTATTCCAGGAAGTTTCTGATGTTGGGGTGGTTGTTTATACCCTCTTTCTTATTTCTTTCCCCCTCATCATATTCATTTTAGTTTGTAATTGTATTCTTGGAAAAATGTCATCATCGGGTTTATCCTTGTGTGATTGTTAACATGATTCGTTTGTTTTTACTGTTTGTGTTGATTAACATGCTCATGGTTATGGTAATAAATTTAATTATTGGAATGAATCAACAAAATATCGTTCTTTTCTTCTTTCCGAATCTGCACAGCAGACTCTTTCCGAATTCTCATTCATCAATGATATGGATTAGCAGGTTCTTCAGGTTCGATATTAGAAAACTTAAGCCACACAGGTTTGTCTGGCCCGGTCACATATTTGGACCAAAATCCGTTTTTGGACACAACAGTAATTCATATTCTCAGATAATGTCAGGGTCGGATTTGTAATGGCTGAGAAAATTCGATTTCAGATTTAGGAGAAACAGTCGTGGTTGCAATCGAGAATTCCGTGGTTTTTCCGATTAGATTACTTGACAAATTGTCAAACCATCATCTAGCAGTTGTGTCGGGGATCTAGGAGAAACAGTGCTGGTTCAGTTTTTGCTGCATACCCAAACTTATATGAACTATACTTCCTATGCACTCCCTTCAGTTTTCCTGATCCAGCCTTCTGATGGTAAGTAACCATCAACTTTGAACATTCCCTGTGGACAAACATCCTAATTAGCATGAGCATCCTTCATAATAAGAACTAGGCTGGCCTAGCGATCCGAATATCATAAGAACTTACTGCAGCTGATCTTCTGTGTAGTTTGCATGCCACTCGCTGGTCTTAGTCCAGGTCCTGAGCCGCCAAAGACTGCACTGAGCTGTGTAAATTGCTGCAGCAGCTAGCAGAGATGGCTGAAACTTGAGCGTTTCATATTCAACCATGCACAACTCAATGAGGAAGAACGAGAGAAATTCAAGCTGGTACGACACGTGGTAATATCTTATCAGTATATTTTTGTCTTAATGGTGGGAGGAGTTACTGCTAGATAGTGATTCATTAAAGAAGGCTTTTTATTAACCTTTTTCTCATATTGTGCTGCCTTGAGAAATCTCCTCATGAAAACATACGGAGTTAGCACAGACATGTTGAATTGTAAAGCGTTCACCATTAACTTCTCCTAGAAACACAGAACCAGCTATTAAATATGGCTAGACACAGAAAGCATGCACTTAGAAACTGTTGTAGGAAATTACCATATCTAGAACATCCTTCCTCGTATAAGCTTTGTCCGAAATCAGAACAAAATCCTCCACTATTGGGACAGAAACCTCCTCATATTTGCATGCTAACAACATAGCCGTCATGCCTACCAATTGAAGCTTCTTTCGGATTATGGTGCAACGCTCTAAGAATCTGTCTATGAGATTGATTGCAAGGAACAATGTTTCTTCCTTAAGTTCAAATTTATAGTGTACCTGTTGAAAATTTATAGGTATGGCCTAACCTTCCCCCATCTTTCAGTTTCCCAAAGATCCCGAAAAAGGTTTATATAAAAATCCAATAGATGAAGTATACAGCTGATATCCAGAACTAATCATATAATAAAAGAGTCACCTTGAACATTTGGTGCTGCAATGGAGCCTGGATTGTTCTCCTTCGATCTTCTCATTCTTTTGTTTTCTTCAAGACTAAAATCCCACTTCCAAGAACCTTCAAGAGAACCAAGAACATCAAACAGACTTTAAACCGATCCAAAAACACCCACTTTATCCAAGAATTAATGGAAGAAAAGAAGAAGAATAAGAAATCTAAGCTTAACTTGTTCATAACATAGATTCAAAAGAGAACTCAAGGAATCCAAAAACACCCAGTAAACTGGAATGTGAATGAAGATTTTTCAACTAAGCAAACCCCAGTTATTAAGCCTTGTATCTCTCTACCACTGTTGATGAAAAGGAAAGGGCGAGTGATGTTGTTTTGCATGTGATCCTTTCTCTTTTTTTTTTTGAAAACTCAACGGCTAGTAAATGGAGACCGTTGGATGTGAACGAAATTGAAAAAAGAGTGACGCTGGGTCGCAGGACAATCAGAATTATGCCACGTTGTCGAGCCTTTTCGGTCGGGACCGAACCCACGAGCTTAAGATCGAGCCGTGGTTACGCTCTTCTCCACTTCAAGGGGCCGGTGACGGTTCTTTGAAACTTTTAAAACACGTGTCACTCTAATACTCTTTTTCTTTTTAAATAATTTTCGGATTTATTCATTACCCGAGCTATATCCGGTTATTCGGTTTTTGAAATTCAAGCTTAAATATTTTGGTCCACTCGGCCCGTCTTGTCTTTTAATGCTTAATATAATCTTTTAAAATATAACTAACAAAATAATAATATTTATAAAACAATTTAATTTTTTCTATTAACAATATTAAAACATAAATCAAATGCACAAATAGTATCGATTATGGGGAACTATTTTGTTGAGTCTCTAACTATAAAAAATTACAAAATAATCTATTAATTATATGATGTTATTTTGTTGAGTTCTATAAAATGATCATCTAACTATTTATATATTCTAAATTCATTTTTAATAAATTAATGATTGTTTGAGCTAGATGTTAATATATTGATTGGGATATGATAAAATTATATTTTAATAATGTCTATTGACACACACGTTGCTTTCAAGCATTTGTTCGACGATATAATGTTTCAAGCAATAGCTCGACGACATAATATAAACTGAGACTCGATCTATAAAATATAGTTCAAATAATTATGAGATCAAATTTTATCATATCCTAGTAAGTAAGTTAACGTCAAACTCAAAAGACCATCAATTTTTTAATAAAAAAAATAACAAGTAGTTGGATGACTATTTTGTAACTTTTAATGGTCGAAATAGTCAACAAAACAACGTTTTATAATTTGAGGATTATTTTATAATTTTCAATAGTCAGATGATTTAATAAAATAATGTTTTATGGTCGAGAATTATTTGTATACTTTACCTTTAAAAAGATTTAAAAGATTTAGGGCTTCATAAACTTATCGTTGATAATAGTAAATTTATGTTTTTGGCTCTAAAAATTATAGATTTCAATTTAATTCTATTAAAAAACGAGGACTTTCATTGTCAACAATGGAGAAATCCCGCGTTTAGTTCAGCTATGATCCTATGGAGATTCCAACATTGAAGAACACATGCCCACTTGAACTTGTCAATTGATAAGACAAACAAAAGGCTTAAAGCTAGAGGAGAAATCCCCGCCGTTAATAAGATCCTTCAAAATGGAACCGATGAAGGTAGAGAGAGCTCCGCGGCTACCTTGTTTGGCTTAACGATGCTCGATGAGAACAAAGCTCTTGTAGGAAGGAAACTTCAATGCAATCCCACCATCGGTGGATAATACCGCCAGTACTTCGTTTCCTCCATGACGACAAAAAACTCGGAATGATCGGCGAAGCACTCTCGATCTTGTTACTTGTGGTATCGCATCTCGAGGGCCGGAACGAAATCGGACGTCGAAACTCTGATGGAAATAATTAGAAATGGGACGCCCAAGAATAAGGAATGTGCAGTCTCATGTTGAAAAGTCAGGTGTTGAGTTTTTAGTATTGAATTGTGTAAGGGCTGAAGCTATATTAGAAATTGTTTTGTTTTGGTAGATTAGTAAAATTTAAAATACTGAAAACAATTATTTTGTTTTATAATTTTTTTATTAATATTTATTTCGTATTTTTTTAATAATTTGGATAAAATTTAAATAAAATATTTTAAAAATTATTTATTTAAACTTTAAAACATCAAGATTAATATAAATTTTTATTTAATCACCGATAATTAATTAATTAATTAATGGACTATTTTAAATCAGATGAGTTCAATTATATTATTATTTAAGTTTTTTTTTTCTATTAAATCAAAATTAATGTAATTATCAAATATATTCAACACTTTGTTGTGATTGGAATCCCCATTTGTCTTCAAACCTAAAAATCCTATTTCTTTTTGGTTTGGTCTTTTCCCCCCCAAGTTCTCTATAAAATCTCCCAGATTCTTTAATATTTCTCTTCTTTTTAAATTTACTTTAATCCCCTAAATAGACAGGAAATAACAGACAGAATTATATAAAAGGGCAGGGAAATTTATAAATTTTCTAGGGTTACTTTGCTTGATCGATCTGAGAGGGGAGGTTATGGGTGCTGAAGGCGATTCGAGTGAGCCACGAGTCGGTAACAATGGAGGAGAAGATGAGGGAGTGATGGTTAACATCCGCTGCTCGAATGGTACAAAATTTACAGTGAGGACCAGCCTTGAATCTACCGTTGGAGTTTTCAAATCTGTTTTGACTCAGAATTGCGATGTTCCAGCTGATCAGCAACGTTTGATTTATAAAGGGCGAATCTTGAAGGACGACCAAACCCTTCAAAGTTATGGTAAGTTTTAATCGCCTTCAGTGTTTTTTTTTAATTGATTTCAATTTTTGGGTATTTCCATTTTGTAGAAATATAAGAAAAAATAACTGAAAATGGTGAAACTTCTAAAACGGAGCACTAAATTATAAGCTTTGAAAGTATCAGCAGAATGTTTAATTTACCAAATTAGATAGTATTACTGAACTCTGAAGGTTGTGTTACATGATCACAAATGCTTTCTTTTATATGGCCATATTCATGTTATCTGAAGGAAAAGAAAACGTAAGCCGAAACATTTAGTACTGACCTTGATTTGCGAGTCCCTGAAAAATGATGTAGTTTTTTTTTTTGGTTAATGAGTTATGCTGATTTTACTTCCTAGCTGATGTAGGTTGAAAAGCTATTAAGTGATTTAACATTTGAAGTAATCAAGCAAGATACTCCTTAATGATGAATGGAGATTGTGCTGGGAATGTGCTTGCTAAGCCCTTTGTTCTTTTAGCTAAGCAATCTACATCAAGTGTATTTTGTACTTACTCTCCACCTGTTCACTGTTTTGTATTAACAGTTAATAATCTAAAATGGGGGTTCAGTAAACATATGTATATATAATGTATGTCAGTATGTATATATATGGGATGCTATATTGAATATTTCCTTTCTTTATGCAAAACATTTGCATGAGATCTGAAAACAAAAGTGATTAGTATTACTGTATTTGATAATTTAATGATTCATCACAATATGTTTCATAGACCAGTAATCTGTATCATGATACCTTAATGCATAAAAGTTATAAATTGATGTGCATGTAATGATTACTTTAGAAGATAAATCTACTTCATATGAGGGTTAAAAACAACTTTGTAATTTGTACACTTAGATCAATTACACAATGGCGAGAGCGAGAGAACGAGAGAGCAAATATTCTGATGGCAAAGATGGAGAGGTTCTTGGAGGGGGTTATTGGTCTGCGTTCATTGATAATCTTAGTAGGAGAGTGAGAAGAAGAACATTTGGGGAACATTTTAGTTATCATGGAAAAGTTATTAGGGTGTTTATTCCTTTTATTAACAACAGACCGAAATACAAGGATTGTACGTTTGCATTTGTCCATTTTGCAAGCAAGAAGGATCTGTGCAATGCGGTGGAGAAGATGAATAATGTCAGGATTGCCGGGAAGATAATTTCTGTATCAGTAGCTAAATATGACAAGTTATCTAAGTTGAAGAGTCGTGAAGGGGCTAGTGAGGAGGGCTTCAAAAAGGTAGAAATAGGAGAGCTGAAGGGCAGAAGATTGACTTCTCCAGCACAAGGGAAAGAGAAAATGGAACGAATGAGCAAGTTCCTTGATGGAAGGACTTATAGAGACACGGTGGTTGGGGTGAAAAAAGTTTCAGAGGGTCATCAAATAAGCAGTCAAAGGAATGTTAAGGAAGAGAAGAAATCTTTGGAAGTCTTTATCCCGATGGAAGAGAGATTATGGTTGAAATCTTCACTTACTGGCATTTGCAAAGATATTTTTGAAGTAGAATTTGTGCAGAAAGCCTTACGAAATGAGGGCTTCAAAGTTAAGGTGATAAGGTGGGGATATGCGAAGAATGGTGTATGGTAGTGTTTCAGTCGGTTGAAGAGAGAAGGATTGCAATGGAAGAAAAATGGGAAGCCCTGACGTTCTAGTTTGAAATATTGGAGCTAGTGGTAGAGGAGGGGGGCATTCCATTAGCTTTTTGTGCGATTTCAATGATTGGTGTCCTATTAAATTGTTGGTCGGTCCCGTTCTTTTCTAGCTTAGCATCCAGACGGGGTAAGGTAGTAAAAATCCAAGATCAAACTGCACATAGAGTGGATTGCAGAGTGGCGCAGTTGTTACTAAGGGTTGAGAGTCCATATGACATTCCAGAACAGATCATCATCACTACGTATGGGAGACAATTCATGATTAAAATTAAAGTTGATGGTGCTGAGGATTTTTTCCCAGAATTAACAGATATGGAGGTAGAAGAAGTTGCAGAGGAACCATGGGAGGAAAGCTCTTCGGATTGGAGCAAGGAAGATGTGCAGAATAGGCAAGAAGAGCAGGTGGGAGTACAAGAGTTGTCAGAACCCCAGAATAGGATTGAGTATTGGATTAGAAGTTCTCAACAAGGCAAAAACACAACTACCGAGGGAGGTTTGAATTTAAACATAGGTATGGAAAATACTTTTGTATTGTGCAAAAAAGTATACAGCAGGAAAAGTCAGAAGAAGTTAATGAAGGGAGAGAAAATGGGAAAAGTCTGGGAGGTGTTCCCATAGAGCATGAAAAAGTTGATTGCGGAAATGGGTTTATTAGGGGCCCGGATATACATTTGAGGAGTGGGCTGGATCAAGAGGAGGAGAGATTAAGCAAGGGATGTTTTGAAACAGCAGAAAATAATGTTGTGCACTGTCAAACTCTAGTGGAGGTGGGGTCTGTTTCCTTGTCTTCTCATAGGAATTCGGGGATTGTACCTGAGAGTAGAATGGGAAGGGGCAAATATAAACATGTTTATTCAAGATCTAGGTTGAGGGGAACTAGGAGCT